ACCTGCAGAGACTTGACCTATTTCCACTCGGACACACACGTGCGTCTAGGTTTTCGCGGCTGCCCAAGTACCACTCGAGCATTTGCCTTTTTCCCCACACTCGGCCGCCAGACATCACTTCGGATCACGCCGCTCTAGCGGAAGATCGTGCTCTCCGTAGTCAATCACTTTCCTTCTATTCCTAGTTCCTATGTGTACACAATATTTTGTCCCTATTATTCTGGCATCCACAGCCTTCTTCTCTACTAAGTAACCATATTCTGAAGATCGCAGTTACTAGAATTTAATTCATCTAACTCTCTAAGATATAACTACTCAATTCTGTTCTTCGACTAATTTCACAACCCGTGTACCATACACCTGCATTAATTTCCCTAGCTAGGATTTTGCAGAATTTGTGGGAAACAATTATTTCTGCAAGCGTACAACGAACATTAATGGTAATTGCCTTCTTGCGCGTTTATATTTTCTTGAATGGCATGCGGGCTCTGACTTGCTGAACTTTTATCAGGCGTGGTGGACTCGGGCGGGATGATTGGTCGGCCATCTCGTCCTCCGTTATTGGCGTACGATGACGCGGTGGCCTCTGCCGTCCCCTGCTGGCGACTTGCATTTGCCAAAGTGAGTCTCAGCACCGAAGATGGATTGGCCAAATCATTGCACTTGTTTACAGATTGGGGGCCCGTGAACCATGACTCAAGCAACTTACGGCTCACACGATTGTCGCCTCTTGCGAGAAGTTAATCCTTATAAAATTTGAATGTGTGGCCGTGCCCAGTCGGATGAATGAAAATTTGTAGCATTTCGTCGCACTCCGGCGGCGTGTTTGGCAATTCCCGTCTTGAGAAGTCTGCCAATTTCTCCGACATAGTTGCTTTGTCCGTAACTGCACCAGATCTTGTAGACGACTTCAGACGTGTCTTGCGTGACAGCGGGTCTATCGGTTTCATGATACGACGCCCAATGGTTGACTCCGGCCTGCGTGCGATTTCACCTCTAAGTGATGCGATAAGGCGGTCGACAGCCTCCGAGGTGTTTCTTGGCGTACGGGATCGCTCACGAAATTTTGGGGTCGGTGCGACTTTGCTGGCAATCTTGCTTGCGCAAGCACCCTTTGACGAAGTTGCACAGGTAGCCATTTTCTCTGAACAAACGTCGAAGGTCATGAACTTCAGCAACTTTGACTTCTGGTTCGTTTCAGTGCGTCTCAAGACGACGACAGAGCGTCCTAACGCAACTGCCTTTGTGGTTGATTAAGTGGTTACTGTTGTAATG